ACAGTAGTATCATGCCGAATTGTGCACACAAATATATTCCTCTCATGGATGACCTCGTTAAATATATGGCCTGAGAAAAAGCCGTGTGACTAATGGATACGTAGTTTTCTCTCACTCATGCTCAAAGTGCACAAATAATTATATCATTCGGTTACAGGCAGACTACGCCTGTGCTGAATGAAGTTGAGCTCGATACTGTCTGTCCGAGTCTGAGACAGTTTCAAACCTTGACAACGTCTCAGTAGGTTTGTGCAACCGTGTGGCCTGTACGCTGGAATAGGCAATTAAACTTTCGCATACTTTTGGACATCAAATTCATATAAACGAATAAAATTGAGAAGCCCCATTGTCTATGCTGGGGAGGTGGGGAAGAGAGTAGAAGGATGCCGCAATAATCATGTGTCCTGGCATCCCGAAATCTTCTGAACACTCCACGCTGAATGCTATTTTGAGCCTTGTTATAGTTATAGTGTAGTGTTAAGGAAAAATAGTTATTGGCCCAGTAATTGACAATGGACACTAGACGAAGCCACTAAAAACCTTCGCTGCAATAAACAGTCATAAAATAAGCCTACAAAGTAAACTTGTGAATAAATAATTTATTTAAGTAGTGGTAAGAGTAGTTTCAAAGCACACAATTGAAGCGCGATTGCAATATGAAATACATGTTTGTTTAATTTGCACTCTTACCATATATGTGACAAATAAGTTAAGGCCCAAACGGAGCTGGCTCACAACTGAGCTCACTAAAAAAATTCCACCAGTCACGCTTTCAAGTGAAGAGACATTTTTATTCTTTTATAACTTGCATGTTGGATATGGCTAATCCTAATCTAGGCTTCTCCCTATTATAGTCCAAGGCTCACAAATGATTATGCATTTAAATGAAGACTGGATTCTTGCAGTTGAACTAACTGTACTACTCGCCCAAACGTATTTCGCTATTTAGCCTGGCTTGACCTTCCAACTCTTCCGTTTCTCATCTGCATCCCCACATTTCTCTCAACCCAATCACACATTCCCAGAGCTAACGACCTACACAAACAAGAGGCTCTTTCTCAAGATATTTATTTGTTAAGGTCATCCATGTGGGATGTATAATGCTATGCGCATTTTGGTTTGATATTACTAATGCGATTTAAGTAGCACCTTTCGGTTCAACGACGTCCGAGCCGAGTAGATGAATGAGCATTCTATATTAATACGAAGGTAGATGATAATAAAATCCTTTGTACCCTACTACCAAGCTTTATAAGATCAAAGCAGCTTATTCATTAAGTTGATGCAGACGATGTATTGAGTAAATACAGATTTCTAATTGATTGTTGCATTTTTGAAGCATCTTTACTCCTTTGTCTCCTCTGCCAAATTCCTGCCCACCTCATAAATGTGTATATCGCTATGGTGCACCTTGGGTTGTCAATCGCAAAGTTTTATACAAATACACACACACTCTCTCTCTCTCTCTCACTTGCCCATTTTCTAAAGCTCATGCCCAGGTTGGCCCAAACTTGTCTAAGTCGGATCGTTATGCTGGTTCGTCCTGATTTTTCAACATTGCTATAACAAACCACACTAACAAGTCTATTGAAATGCAGTAGGCAAATCCAATTTTTGCCGATTTTTTCACTGCACAGACAACTTTTTAAAAGAAAACTATAGTCTTCATCCATGTGCAGTTGTTATAACCAAGAGACTATGTTCAATGGCACCAGCTACTACGGTAAAGTGTTGTCCACTTTCCTATGAATCCGCGCCAAGTTTTGCTTCTGTTCGGAAAAGAACCACTCATACCGAACTATCGTTCGCTTGTACATCTCCCCACTGGACTCTCCGATGTTGGGGGTTAAGCCCAAATTTCCCCTCTCGTGTACTCTCTCAAGACCACACGAACTGTCCAGTCAGTCTGGCCGTTGTCTGGTCGCTACGGCCGGCTTTACCGGTGGTTAGCAAAAGTAGGTGTCATCATCATTTTTGCCGTCCGCGCCTGTCCTTTTCCTGCTCCCGTCCACTGCACCTCCGCCAGCATCCGCCGTAACATCACCAGACAGTTGGCTTGGGCAGTTGGGGGCGCTGCGGTCTCTGCAAGCGCACTCTCGGACATAATAGCCCGTGGCAGGTTAACCTTTATTCATCCTGAAAAAGCGGTACCATTCGAAACTACCTACAGTTACCCATTGAAAAAAGCCCTGGTTACGGGACTCAGGCTGCCCGGGCTACTTTGCTGCCTTCCCGCCTAGACAGGCACAACCGTATCGAGTCTGCCCACAATCATATTCATTTATTGACGTGTGCATTTGTGTGCGTATTTGCTTGTATGTGTCTGTGTGTGTGTGTGTGTGTGTATGTTGTATGTGTGCTCTCATCCATGGTGCAGTAAAGCTCGCATCATCGTATGGAGTCGTATATGAACCCCGAACATGTGGTCCGAAAGACAACCACATTAATCTGTAGAAAGGACGGATTATATTTTGTGTTGTTGGGTTGGTATTAAGTACGTCTGTGTGCACGTACGTGACCATATCAGCTCAAAAGGCTTTAAAAGGGATCCCTTTGGTTGCGAAAATTGTGATAGCCTTCTCTGTCGCTCAACGGGCGAGGCAGAAACCATTGCTTGACTTTTGGGATCCAAGCATTTGAAGTCGGATACAGCAACGAATACTTGGCAGATTGTATTCACCAATCGGCCGGCTTGGCCAAAGATAAAAGACTACACCAACGCAAATCCGGCTAACTGACTACTTAAGTCACTTCAGTAATGCGTATAATTTGGCCATAGACGTCTGCCCGAGAAGCCACTTATTTTGTTTGGAAGTAAGCAGCGTTAACCTCACCTCG